GTGCACAGTGATAGGTAACTTAAAGAAATAAATCATAATAGCACCATAACTAAACTCTGCCAATTAAACCGACCACGATGCCACACAGTCACACAACATTATCATAAAAACGCAAAACTTCTGGACTCAAAAATTAGATAAAGTTTGCGCACCGCGCTAACAAAGTTTCTCATTGATAAATAACGAAATAAGTCAAACAGTTGAGACAAGTGCACATCTGCCAATTATATAAATTATAAGTGGCGGCGATGAGACAGCACGCTGGCACTAACTACCAGCTTACAAGACAAGAACTCACTCTGACATGATGATAGCCAATACTGTTTGATCAAAACCTTAGCAGAAAAATAAAATAAAGAGCTAAACATCGATCTCTCATTTGCGCCTACAACCAACGAATAATTATAGAAAATAAAGAAATTTCACCGGTGGAATATTGCACTTGCATGATTATTAGTACCCTTTCTTCTATGCAATTAATAGTTGAGAGCAGATCTGATTTTCATCTGATATCAGTCAGAAGTGCATTATTATGTTGCAAACATAGCTTGCAGTTTCCTGCTACCTTCCAACAAAGAAGTACTCATTCATCCACCTCAAAACGAAGAAAGATGAGTGGCCTGACTGGGGTTCAAACCGGGACTTCACAGTTCTGAGTCTGACGGCTCTAACGGAAATAGAAGAGGATAAGGGTCAGCAGTCGTGTCAGGTACAAAGGTGCGAAGTCCATCTTAAGACAACCAATTTCAGGTTCTATACGGTGCTGACATGGCGACAACATAGGAGACATGTTAAGCATTCATTATCGACTCACGGAATTCCTGGCACAGAAGGCGCCGTTGGTCCTCCTGCAACGCATACCACTTAGGCGGCAGCGTCCTGGACGGCCTGACGCGACGCCTGGCCGTGCTGCACGATCCGACCGGACACCTACTACGACGGAGTTGAGACAAAGATACAAGCGCCTAAACACATACTACGCATACTTCTTCTTTATTAAACTCAGACGACACTTCTGGCATATTTTCAGAGTATGGCTGACGCCGTTGAATCCAAAACCATACTGCTCCATGAACGCACGTGACACG